TACCATTACCATTTGGGTGGAGGTTGGATAGAACATGGCAATGTTCTGATCTCCACGTGCAGAGTCTTGATCTTCAAAGCGCAGCGGTCCCTGCATTCTGACCAGGTTGTGTGGGCAGGCTTTGGGGTACAGACCATAGGGCACAGACCCATTAGAGCATCATTGACAGCGTCTGACCAAAAATGCAATAAGATGCAGCAATTGTGACCAGCAAACCAACTATATTGTTTCGAAAATGAATAATAAATGTAAGTGACAGAAAAGCCCTGCCCTACTTGTTAAGCTGCAGTGTAATACAGAGGCTTGCACTGCAAAGCTTGACAAACTGTAGAGGTTTAACGCACCTGCCAACAAAGAGAGAAAACATTAGCTACAAATGCCACAGATGTGACAAGTGCAAACAAAATCCCTACAAACCTGGCCACAGATGGCAGGTACTGGCAGCCAAATGACTTGCAGTAGGTTAGTCATTGTTTGGCTAACAGGACCAATGGCAATAGCTGCACCCAGCTACCTACATACCTCGTCAGACTGCTTAACGTTGTCATGTCGCTTCTCAAGGTCTGCATACTTTTTCCAATATCCATAGCAATATGGATAATGTGTGAAAAACCTGTCAAATGCTTTCCTGGCAGCTGGTAAGTGGTTCTGCAAGAAATACACAATAAAAGCAATGAATCCTTTCCTTTAAAAACCCTTTATGTTATTCTGAAAACAATTACTACTTTAACATTTTCTTAAAAGCAATAGTTTTTATTGTGTGATCTCTTCTGACAACACTGACAAGGGCAACTTCTTCAAACAGTACCCATGAAAGCCTGATGTACAGCTCTAGACTGGTCGCTGGAATATCTGTGACTTGTTTGGGTTTTCTTTGTTTATTTCTTGAAGGCTAAGGAGAATAGGGTGCTATACTAACCTCCTGCTCTACGTACTGTAGTAGATATACCCATCCTGTGAAATCCTGGGGATTGTCCTCTACTACTTTCCAGAACTTGTCAAAATCTGGAGGAAAGCCAGCCTCAATATCTGTTGTCTGTAAACTTTCGATATCAGGAATTTCACTCTCCTGCATGTTGTCTGCATTCAGGCCAGGGGAACTATCAGGTGATTGTTCCATCTCAGTGACACCTATAATTTCTGTACTGAAGTCCATCTGCTGTTCTTCTGTTGCTGTTTCGGTGCTATTGTCTGTGTTCTCATTGCTTACAGTTGGTTTCTCCTCCTCTGTATTTTCTGTGTTGTTCTCCATAGCTGACATTACTGCTGTTTAGTAGTACTAGATCCTGCAGAAACAAAAAGATTCAGTATTCCTGCAGCAAAGATTCAAGTAGAACTTGGGCTTGAATTACCACCTAAGAGTCTCCCAAGTGCTTCAGGCATTCATGTATTTCACCACAAACCCCCAGCAACTGGATCTGCTTCTCACATGAGCCTTATTCACAAATAAGATAATTTACAATTAATAGCAATCCTACATTTTAACATCTGCACATACAAATCTTTGTGGGTTTTCTAAAAACCTGTCACAAGTTGCTACGGAGGTATAAAAGTGAACCAACCCAGCTTTCCTATGCAAGTTGAACAGTTTATTCCATACAGAGAATTACATTCAAATTTATTCAATTATCCTACTTAATACAAATTAATAATTTCTTTGCAAAAGACATGTATGTTTAACTGTTCCCTCAAAGCCAAGCTGAACCAGATTACATGGTAACTCTGCAAAGAAAAGAATTCTTGTCCTCACTCAGTCCATACGTAAGATGCCTAAATAAGCTAACCAGCAGAGGGCCACACACAGTGTTCAGGCTAGCCCCTGACACTAGTCACTCACCCCCATGCAACACTTACTCATCAGGTGCTTCCTCCTGCCCCTCAGGACAGACTCCATCTTCCTCCCACTCTTTATTTTGATCTTCCTGCCAAACGCTGCTGCCCAGCCCTCCCCTCCTCCGCAAACACCAGTCCAGCCTCACTGCCCAAAGCCTGGCCACAAGGCACTCCACTGGACCTTCTCCACATTCAAGACAGACCATAATGACCTATGGGTTAAAGGTAATGCAGCACCTGCATAGAATACAGTAGCTTTGAGCTGTGAATCTATTTTGGATGAAGAACAGCATGAGACTATCAGCCTCAAACGCACTGTAGCAACTGCCACTCCTATTTCCCTTCAGTTCTCAGAGCAGAAGCAGGTAAGTTTGACATTTAAAAGTCCCCACCCCACTCTGCATTGCCACAAATCTTTCTCACTGAAAGCCTAAAAAGAGAACAAACCGTTTGCTTTCACTTCAGTGAGTACAATGATAGGTCATCAGTAATGTAACAGGAGCAAAATTCTTGACAGGAAGGAAAAACTTCTCTACTCTATCTTTAGCAGCTTCAGTGCATGAGATAAAGAGTTCATGCTGCCCTAGTTCACCAAGCCGAGTTACCTTGGTGTAGTGTTAAAAAGTCCACATGGTCCACTCTGGGAGTTTTCTAAAAACTGTTTTTTTAAAAGTAACTATTTCTGTTCTCCATCGTATATATCACCTGGTAATCCTAAACACATAATTTCTTTCCTTTAACATAAACAGTTCATAAGTTTGCAACTTCATGTTGTAACTGCAGATCGCTGCATCTGCATCACTGAAAAGAGCCGCTACTATTCAGAGCTCATCTGTAAAGATGATAAAATCAGGGTGTCAGAAGCATGTGCTATACAAACAGCAGCCCCAACTCCTGAAAAAATATACTTTAAAGGATATTTACAGCTCTAAATTTTTGAGAAAAACACAATTGTTTTTAAATATGCAATAATGCACAACCTAAAATTATTCTGGTATTTGACAGACGTTTTCTCCCTCTAGCCGATTCAGATGTATTCCAGCTTAAAAACCTACCCCCCCAAATTCATCCTGTCTTCACATTAGGGGGAAAGTAAAAAAAAAAAGACAAAGGATGGTACTAGACTACCTCTGGATATGAGGCTTCAAACAAAATGTTAACGTCTGCTTCGCAGTTTGCTTCCTACTCAAGGTGCTCTAAACCCATCCCCAGAAACCAAGACATCCCCCAAACTCACTAAGGGTTATAGCTGCCGTGAACAACTGGTTCCTGGAACCAGACGAATGTCCTTGCTCCAGGCAGCTGCGAAAGCAGCAGGCACAAAGCCAACACACGTCAAACACTGACAACCATGGAACACAGTAACTCAATTCCAAGAGTTTTTACATCGCTCGTGCTAAATAACTAAATAAGCATATCAGATAACCACATACCTAATTTTAAATCTTTTATGCCAACATATATTATTTAGCCTGTTTCAACCAAACGTTTATTCTTTGCAATACTGGCATTTATAAACATGAATTAATACAAAACCATCCCGGAAAGCCCACAAACTGGCAATCACAAGGAGTTTCCGGCCTCAGCTTACGCCTCCGCCCAGACCAGTGTCACAGCCCTGATAAGGGAGCCGCCTGGAACCTGCTGGCGCTGGGCTGCGCTGCACTGGCACTGCTGCCCCGGACCATTCTGCCCAACCACTAACGTTTCGGTGGCCAAAATCATAGTCACAGCATCACAGAACGGTTTGGGTTGGAAGGGACCTTAAAACTCATTCAGTTCCAACCCTCTGCCACGGGCAGTGACACCTTCCACTAGACCTGCTTGCTCCAAGCCCAGTCCAACTTGGCCTTGAACACTGTCAAGGATGGGGCAGCCACAGCTTCTCTGGGCAATCTGCGCCAGCGTCTCACCACCCTCACAGGGAAAATATAGGAAAAAAAAAAGAAAAAGAAAGTAAAGAGTAAAGAAATACAATGACAACGTAACAAACCGTGAAGCACTTAAAGGCTTTGGGCTGGTCTAATGTTTGTCCAGAGATCTCGCAGTTGTTCCAGCACATAAGGATCATACAGGTTTCCCTAATCACAACGTTCGTTCCGTTAAGCGCCAGCTGCGGGCTGGTTTACTCCAGCGCTCGGCAGTCGCTGGCGAAGTGAACGGCTGAGGCGGCAGCGGGTGCCGCACGCCCGAGCGCGGCCCCACCACATAGCGGCTTCGGCCCAGCACAGGCCCCCGACGCCCGACTCAGCCGCTCGTCGGGGTGGGCGGAGACCAACCCACCGGAGACGAAGGCGGGGACCCAGCCTAACCCCTTCCCTTCCCCCTTGCAAGTCTGGCGCTCCCCGCAGCTGCCCCATTCCCGATCCCCCGGTCCCGGTACCTGCCACAAGACCAGTAACCACCTAGGCCGCCGCACGCTTGCCGCCGCTAGGCCTCAGGAAGAGCCCAGTGCGCGTGCGCCGCGCATGCGCCCACCCTGCCCCTCCCTCCTTTCCTCCCGCCAAATGGCGGTGGTCCGGGCGCTCTCCTTCCCACCTCCCCCCCGTCGGGCACGGAGGCAGCGCCCGGAGCGCTACAGAAATAAATTCTTTTATTTGCATCAGGTTCCCGAGTAAAACGCGACAGTAACGGCGGTGGGGGACGGGTAGGTACCACGGCCTCCGCTCTACCACTGCTTCCGAGGAAAAGGCTCGTTTTCATCACAGCGGGGCCGTGCTTTCCGTACCGATGAGCATGCACAGCCAGCAAGCCACGTTACAGTACCGTACCGCAGCCACAGCACGCTAATACCCACAGCTGCAGGCGGGGGTTGTAAAAAATACATGTTCTTCACAACTGCCACACCAAACCCTGTTGTGCTATTTAACTGTCTCCAGGATTTTCTTCCATTTACCGATGTAAAGCTCAGTGCTAAAACCAAGTCAAAACGTGTCAGATATATTTATTCATTAACAATCTATTACTAGACCTAGGGTGCTGTGCTGTGGTCTCTAGAGAAATACACAGATTAAGGGTGACTTCTCCATCCCGGCACCTTCCATGCTCTCCCAGCGACGACCCTTCTTCACTAGAGACACCAGCACAACAAAAGAACAGGGGGTGGTGTGGTATGTTTCCATATAAACAGCAGCCCATCTGTCCCAGCTTCATGCATGAATGGGATCGTTACTTTAGCTTTCTGTCTTCAAAAGTTCTTCTAAAGTCTTCTTGATGTATGGTGACTGAGCTGCAGCGTGAGTTAAGAGACTTGGTCCCATATGTGCAAAAAGTGCTTTTGACAGTTTTGCTGTGGCTGTCCGAATGTTCCCTCTGGTTCCAGGCAAAGAGCCACTGTTCGTCATGTTTCCCAGGAGGTGCCAAAGGACAACTAGAACTTTCTGCTCCACACTCTTAGGCTTCCGTGGATATAACTCCATCACAATATCTGCAAGAAAGACAGCAGGTCATCAATCGGTGTTTGAAGACTTCTCTTTAAAGCACAACTCAGAAGTGATGCCCTGCTCTAAGAAGTGTTTAAAATCACTTTATGTCAAATCATCTTCTCAAGCACTAATGAAAGAATGCTGAGTATACACAAGAGCTTCTCTGTTGCAACACCATCAGAACTCTGATAAAAAATACCAGCTTTGCCTACAAACACCCCTTTTAGCCTCTCTCAAGAGTTCACACAGTCATACTTGTACTGCTGATAATTACAGTTTTCCATTCTTAAAATTGAAACAAGAACTTTTTTTCAGGTTTGGTTCTTTTTTTGATTTACGTTTTTTTTTTTTTTGTTTGTTTGTGTTTTTTTAAGTTAGAATTATCATAGGGACCTGTATTTCTCTCAGAGCGCTGTGTAGCATCTCATATTTTATGATTTCCACTCTGTCTATGAAATACTTAGTAGGTTTTTGAGTTTAAGGAACAAAGTAGCCTTATAATATAAATATCTGCAAGATGAAGCTTTTCCCTACTCAGACAATTGCATCAGGAATTAAGTGTTTCATTTGCAAATGTTTGTCTTTTTGCTAGAATGGACTCCTCTGATATACAATACAAACTACTCCCCCAAAATACTAGCAAGAGATGGACTGTTTAAAAGCTGATTTCACATATAGAAAGCAGAAATTTAGGAATATTTCAAGAACAGACTGTCTGTTATGTTTAGTTCAATTTCACAGCTACTACATACGGAACTACTCTGAAACTAAGCCAAACATACTGTTTGAGTCAAGCCTATTTCCCATAAAGATATCTCTTGTTCACTTAAAACAGCAAAAGGAAATTCAGCACTTCTGCTAGTAATAATCCCCAATATTAAAATGTGTATATAAATTTTAATCCAAATTTGCCTTTAATTTTTGAGTAAATTTGTTCTTAAGCTTTAGGAACATGACCATTCTGTGGTCATGCTCAGCTTATGTCCTTTATGGCTCAAAGCCAGTATGTATTACTAAAAGCCTTAAAATGAGAAAAAGAGCAACTGCGAAAAGCAAAAAAGGTACAGAAGTGAAATTCAGGAGTTAGTAGGAGCCAGCCTTAGAGAACAGTGTATTTTCTGTGCTGGGAAACCCCAGAAAAAGCAGATGCTCATTCTTCAAGGCCAGGCTGGACAGGGCTTTGAGCAACCTGGTCTAGTGGAAGGTGTCCCTGCCCATGGGTTATGTGGGAACTAGGTGATCTTTAAGATCCCTTCCAACCCAGTGTGATTCTATGATTCCTAGTAAGTTTATGTGGATGTGAGTACTGCTCCTCAGTCAGCTCCATGCCTCCCACCCTACACAGGAAGAAGTGCTTGCTGACCAGGCAGAGTGCAGCGTGTGGGTACCCAAGTCTTGATACTGACACAGTGAAACTCATTACAAAACAAACCTCATTCTCTCTGATTCCATACTAAATTATAAGCTTAAGGTATTTATAAATATCTTCCAGGTATTTACACATCTTCCATCTGACTCCATAATAATAAGCTATTGTTTGATCAGCAATAACTCCAGTTTGCATTGGAAGGGGGTGAAATTTGACAACCACTACATTGTTAATGCCCGCAATCTATTGTGACAGAAGGGAAAATGTATAACCATCACCATCCCACAATGAATTTGCCTAATAAGGATAGTACACAAACAAATATCCAAAGTAAAACATCACTTTACCAGCAAGCTTTTCTGTTATGTCTTGTTTGGCTTTTCCATTCAGAAACTGGGCTTTTGTGCAGAACGGCTGAAGGAGCAAGTAGTTGTCTAAATGCAGAGAACAAAACATGTTACAATTGGTAAACAGAAAATTAGTCTGGAAATAAACAGAATATTCAGAAACGTAAATAAGAACCTTACTTGTATCAACTTCAAAAATCACAGTGATAGATCTAAAGGCATAAAAGCATAAAAACATACTCTTTTAACAAGGCCTAACTCCTAGAATCTGGTAGAGCATAGCATATTCTTTTCCTGAAAACACTGAGATTCTGCTCCAAAGCTGAAACAATTGAGGAAGGAAAATGGTCATGGCATACACAAATCAGCAAGAATCTAGTTCTTTGACTTGTTGGAGATTAAACAGTGTGACAATGTTCTCGATAATGAAACACAGAATCACAAGAAATGGTTGAAGTGGGTGAAGGACCTCTGGAGATCATCTGGTCCAACCACCTGCTTAAGTGGAACCCTCTGCAGCTGGTTGCCCAGGACTGTGTCCAGGCAGCTTTTGAATATCTCCAAGGATGGAGACTCCACAGCCACCCTGGCCAACCTGCGCCAGTGCTCTGTCACCCTTACAGCCAAAACCATCTACTATGGGAAAAGAAAAAAAAAACAGCAAGCTGTATTGCTGTATTTCTGGATCAGCAAAATACTGAGATGACCTGTATGGTGTAGAAAGTGTGAGAATAAAGCCAGTGATTCATTACACAATGTAATGATTGGGTGGAAACTTGGAAAGAATGATTCTTTAAATCTAGAATTTAATACAATTAAAACTCTTTAAAATTAAGACGGAGTAAATTACTGACCTAGGTGTTGACACAGAGCCTGAATAACATTTTTGGCAGCTGCATAAATCCCTGGGTTTCTGGAGTTCAGGTTGTTGTCGACCATGGCGGGAATTAACATGTTGATCACAGGTGATAAATTGTCTTTCAGCAATGGAATTATCTGGTGCATCGTCTCCAAAGCAATCTGATTTACTTTGCCATTTATGTCATTTAAACAATACACGAAAGCATCAAAAATCTGAAAAAGCATGCAAACAGCATTCATCAGAATTAACAATTCATATTTGAGGTAGATACTACATTTCCTGCTTTACTGTTATACTTTGATTGTCCATCTTAGCAAAAGATGGCTCTGATATGCAAATACCTGAGATACTTTTTTGAGCAAGTAAAGCAACATTTGATATCTTTATACTCTGTATTATTCAACTGTGCCTCACCTCATCTGAATTTACATCATTCCTGTACAATGTAAAGAAGGCAAACTAGCCATCTGTAACTTTCAGTATGACTAGTATTTTCTGAAAGCAAGTATTTTTAGCAAGACACAGCTGTATTTAGTAGAAAGTATGTTTTAAAGATTTCAAAACCATTCACATTTAAGATACGGTGAAGTTCCACAAAAGTATTTCACAGTTTCACAGCAAAGATTCTATACTGTTAGAAGACAATCTTGGTTTTCCTTTCATTGTATCTATCTCTAGTTTACAACTCTTGGACCTCATCATAGTATTTTTCCCCTACAGAACCCTTTCCTATTACAAAGGATACTTACTGTAAGCTTTATCATAACAAAGACCTTTCCTCACATTCTCCTAGGCAAAGCAAGCAGGCAGAATTTGCAGCTGTGTTTCAGAGAGTTTTTCAGATCTTGATTAATCCTTGCTGTTCTTTCTGTAAGCTGTTCCAATATTTTGATATTTACTCAGCCATGGCATGAAAACTTGCCTGCAGTATTCCAGGAATAAAGAGTGCTTTCTCTAAGTGAAAATTTCCAGCTTCTTCATCCTATTTACTTCCTTTACTACCTTTGTAGCTTGCACAGCTCACCCTGGAGCATACCTCACCTACTCCTCACTATTTTCCTGTTAATCAGATGTTCTTATTGAATGAGTGAGCAAAGATTTTTATCAGAAAACAGCTTTAAAGACCCTTGAAATAAAATATTTTCATACAGTTACCTTCACAATGTTTGCAACAACAAAGCCTTGATTATTCTCTGCATCAAGTGACAGCTTCTTAATGCCACGTATCCGATCACGGAAGTCCTTTGCATTCAATAAACCTATAATGTCTTTAACATATTCGTCATTTTGTAGTAAATTACGAGGAGCTGTTTTTCTTACGACTTCATAGGGTTCTGTAGTCTTTCTGTTGGAAAGGAAGAAGTTAGTTAGTGAACACATAAGCACGCTGAAATAGGAGTTTAAACCTCAAAAATCTCATTGTTTTCAGTAAAAGAATATATTATCCTCTACCAGATTCTAGGAGTTACGGCTTGTTAAAGAATATATTTTTATGGTTTTATGCCTTTAAATCTGTCACTGTGTTTTCTGAATATATGATAAGGTTCTTATTTATGCTTTTGAATATTGTGTTTATTTCCAGACTGTTTCATTTTCTGTTTAACAATTTTAACGTTTTGTTCTCTGCATTTAGACAACTGAAAAGTGACCCAGTACCATCTAAAACCTTCAGCATCCCCAGTTAGGATCTAAATACCTGCTGTCCAGGAAAGTGCATGGATAATCTGCATTGTGGCTACCACTAAACATGTTTTTTCTATAGACTCTGAACAGCAATATCTTTAACTGATGATAACGGACCTACTATGAAATCCAAGTGGTTTGTCCACTGTGTATATATTTCATAGGCAGTCAATAGGCAAATTAACTTCAAAGTGCAAAAAGCTATTTTAATATTACCAATTACCCCATTTAAAAGAGCTTATCTGGGACATGTCAAGTTTTTCCATTTCCTGAAGGCACGTTTACTTTTCACAACCCTGTTGTGAATGCTTCTGTGCTCTCTGCTTGCAGTGAAGCTACTATCCTAGAGTGTAAGTTACTAGCAAGGTAAAACAGTTAAGATAATTACCTGTCAGTGATGTTGGTAGTACCTCTCAAATGTCCAATGCTACTAGTATTGGAATGTCCTATTTTTGCTGAAGGTGCATCTAATGGCAGCCCATCCAAACCCTGCACAGAGGAACAACTGTTAATTAACATAGCTGGTACAGTTCTGCCCTGCTAGAGAAAAAAAAAGCTATAAAAAGCAGCAAAGTGCATCTCGTCCAGTGTATCTGCAAGCAGTAAAAGCATGAAGAGGGCAGCTAACAAGCAGCACCTTGCCATGCTGCAGTCACTTGATTACCTGGCTTGCTCTGAATGCTCTGCCTTCCTTTACTGTAGGTTCATTGTCTACCCCTAACTACCACTAGTACACATTTACATTTCTCAGCTGTTAAACAAGAGCTTTTCCACATACCTTTTTACGTAGGTTGGTAACAGCTTTCCTAATATAAGGCAAATCCTTGGTCAACACATACGTCTCAATTGTTTTATCGAAATCAGGATGAGTCATCATACTGAAGAGCATCTTTCGACCATAATACCTGAAGGGCAACAGACCACAACATCTACAGCTGTAAACACGGATTTGCTTTGTATCTCTATTGATAATTATAGATGTGTAATTCCAAAATACTAAAGTACAGATAGACTGCTATCTATAGATATAGACACACATTTCATTCTCCCACAAAAAAACTGTGCTCAAGAATCACTATTTAATCAACAACTGAGCAAATTAATGAGATTTCAGATGTCTTTAAATATGATGGTCAAGCCTTATCAGTCAGACAGCATGGATCCTAGTGCAAACAATCCCTCTGTGTCTTGCATCTCATCTGTGCCCAACAGAGTATGTTCTTTGAGTCCCTGTACCATGTGTGCTTGCAGCCCAGAAAGCCAACCATGTGCTGGGGTGCATCACCAGCAGCATGGCCAGCAGGTCATGAGAAGGGATTCATCCCCTCTACTCCACTCTGGTGAGACACCACTTGCAGCACTGCATCCAGCACTAGGGCCCCCAACATAAGGAAGGCATGGACCTGTTAGAGCAAGACCAGAAGAGGCCAAGGAAGATGCTCTGAGGGCTGAAGCACCTCTCTTACGGAGACAGGCTGAGAGCTGGAGTTGTTCAGCCTGGAGAAGAGAAAGCTCTGGGGAGACCTTACAGCAGCTTCTAGTACCTAAAGTGACTGGTGAGAAAGCTGGAGAGGCACTTTTGACATGGGCATGTAGGGGTAGGACAAGGGAGAATGGCTTTAAATCGAAAGAGTGTGGATTTAGATTAGATGTTAGGAAGAAGCTCTTCACTGTGAGGGTGGTGAGGCACTGGCACAGGTTGCTCAGAGAAGCTGTGGGTGCCCCAGCCCCGGCAGTGTTCAAGGCCAGGTTTGACGCGTCTTGGAGCAACCTGGTTTAGTGGAAAGTGTCCCTGCCTGTGGCAGGGAGGTGGAACTACATAATCTTTAAGGTCCCTTCCAACCCAAACCATTCCATGATCCTGTGACTCTATGATTCAACCACCTGGAATGTGCTTATCTTAACTATTAAACTTACTAACCTTGTTTGTTGTGAACTATCCTGTGTAAACCTGACTATTGCAGGAAAAAGCTTATCAGCGACACGTTTGGTTCCAAACAGAATCCGGTCCTGGCCCATACGTTCTACAGTGTCTGAGAGGTGCTGAGCTGCACATCTTCTCACAGCTGAATTCAGGTGGCTAAAGAAAACACAGCTGCTTAGTAAAAACTCCTCACAGGAATCAAACAGCAATATTTATGTGCTCTACCAAATAGATTATACAAGTTTTCTTTTTTCATCTTTAGCATAATCTGCAAGTATTATACTGGTGAAATGCAGATCCTTATTCTGGTCATATAGAGATGTGGAGCACAGACAACTTTATTAAAAAGGGTAATCCGTTTGATTAAATTTCATTTCATTCACTTAAAATCTCAAACACCTATGCTGATGAAAATGAGAGAAAAGCTGGAATTATTTTTCAAACTTGTGTAGCAAACTGACCTTTCATATAAGTTTGCTATACCTACTGATCCCACATTTCAGGGTACACAATTCTGCAAATTCAAACTTTTCCAATTTTATTTTTGTCTTTGGATTAAAAACCCTACTTTGAGGTCAGTATCATTGCACAGTCAATGAGACATTTGTATGGTGCATCAGGAGATACAGTTTTGAAGGAGAGCTAAGGCACAGAATTGACTTCGAAGCCACATCAGTGGCTCCCAGCTTTTCAGTTTGACATGAATGTCCAGTGCTCTTCCTGAATAATTGTGTTCCCATTTCACCAAGATTTCATTTTCTCTGGTTCTACAGATTACCACAGCCTTACTGGATATAAAACTATCACTAGATTATACTGCACAAAGCAGCTTCAGTTTGCACAAAGACAACTAACTGGGTCTATTCCAACTGCAAATTGTGGCAGTTCAGAAGAGACCCCAGGATGCAAAATCTTTCCAGTAGTGTAGCAGCTCCCATGCTGAGCTCCCTGCTAATGCAGCCATCCTCTCAGCTGCTGCTGCGGTACCAAGTTTAAGACTAGCTTAAGACTAGTTTTGGCTCATGCTTAGTACTTGCAGTTATGTCTATATAGCAGCCACATGTCTCAGGAGAAGGGAAACGGTAACGGATTTAACTCCTGCTGCATGCACCAAATGGAAAACAAGAACCATGAGGTGCAAAGCGCTCACTCCACAGAAGCAAACAAGCCCCCGTTCCCCATGAATGCCTGCTGCTCACGCAGAATAGTTAGAAGTCTTTTTGCATCCATGTAAGACCTTAAAATTAAACTCAGTTCATACAGGTAAGAAACACGATTTTAAAATTTCTGAAATACAATCATTTTGAGAGTAGTCTCGGAATCATGCTCTTGATCAAGCACCCGTTCATAGATACGAGTTTATAGCAATAGTCCAGTATCTTTAGAGCAAAAATTGCCCAATTTAGAAAATATATCCTTTGTGTAATTGCAGTTGTGTCCAACAGAACCTTTCCACCTCATACTGAAGACACATAATTTTTCTCTCAAATTTCCACTTTGAAAGGTAATTCTCACATTCACTGTTACAGCCTCTAGAGGCAACAGCTCTGAATGTGCTGCATGGGCTTTGTTGCTCATACGGCTAGAGTACCATGAGGCCAATAGAAAAGCTATAACTCACAGTGCTAGTTAGGCCATCCATTGATAACACATTAAAAACATACTGTACTCCACAATTTATACACCGCTTTGACCGAAGTCTTCTTAGCTGTGAAGAATTTAATCCCCGCTTTAAATGCTGTATTTGGGCTCACTGCTCAGATAATTTTGATGCCTTAGATATATGAATTCACAAATTGGATGGGTCAAACCTTTATAAGTCTAGAAATTTTTTAAGGGTAGTTCAGTGTATTTGAATCTGCTACTAAAAATGGGGAGATCAGATGTAGCCAATTATGATCATAAGTATTGCTTGTCCAAGGACTTCTGAAGACAAGATGAAAGTACATGAACAGACCACTTTATATGTCTTCTGAACTAAAGCAGTGTGCAGTAACTGCCTGCTGCTCTTAAATTCACCAAAAAATCCAAACCAACCCTACATACAGGCATGATTGATAAATAATTTAAGTCCTGAGGCTGCTATTTGCCTCTCAGCAGTTTGAAGTTCAGGTAATTGCAGTATGGTTCCCACTGGCTTTCAGGAGACAGAATCAACATACCCCACAACAACCAGCTTCCCAGGAAACAAAATAGGAAACAAACTATTTTGAATCAAGGCTAAGTCTTAGATTTTCTGCACAGCTACAAATCTTAAGGATTGATTCATAATGTGGCATCTGAAATACTTAATGGAAGGGATGAGAACTATAGCCTATTAAATGTCATCTAACTGATGACAGAGAGATAAAAGATCAAGTACAAGTAGATATATATATATATCTAGCATGCTGGAATGCTTGATTAAGTGGATATATGAGGATATAAAAGAAAAAGAACAACATACTTTACAGGGAAAGTGAAAGAAAGGAAGTCAACTTCTACTACAGACTGAGGCAAGCTAGAGGTCAAAATCAAAGCATGCAATTGGAAACAGGGGCTTGTTGTGTTTCAGGTACTGAAGAAAATAATGGCCACCACCACTGTAAAGGAAATTAAAATGCAGACAAAAAGACTATTAACTAGTTAAGGGTAGAGAACAGGAAATCAACCAAGACAGCTGCAGCTAGAGAACTGTAAGTTATAAATCATCTTTCTGAATAAAACTTAGTGCTGAAAACTGAAAAGACAGTCATTTTTTTGCAGAGCAAATGCAAAAAGAGAATGCTATGTGAGCTTTACTAGCGTATGTATGTAGTAATGTATGTATGTAATGTATGTAATGTAGTGTATGAGCTTTACTAAAAGCAAATAAAATTACTTAAGTGTTGCAAAATTACAAAAAAATATAGCAAGCTCCAAAAATCAACAGCTAACTTTTAACATAATGTATAGAAGGAGAAGGTTGGGGGTCTACATTTTACTTCTACACCAACAAACACTGCTCTGGGTAGAAGTTTTGCAGAGCTGACTTATATATTGTCAAATTTCTGCCTATTCTATTTTTATTTTTCTTTTAAAAAGACTATATTAGGTAAACTTAACCTATTCACAAGTTATTTCTATATAAAGTCTATAAGAATTACCTTTGCCCTCCATCTATAAGAGAATAAAGTGCACGTGCTGGAGTCACATTATTAACCATAGCCTTCAGTGCTTCGTCTACCTCTTCCCTTATAAATGTGTTGGATTCACCAGCTTTGTGCAAAAGGACTTTTACTGTATAATCTAGTTCTTGATCCATGCTCTTTTTCAGGTAGGTGAACAAATCCCCTAAACAGACCACAGCAGTTCGGGAAACACCTGAGCGTAAATTCTTGACCTGCACACAGGAAAGACCCAAACAAACAATGAATAATGTTTATAAAATATACTTTAAAATAAATAAAACTTAATGTTTCCCTTTGTAATTTTTAACTAACATTAAAAGCAACTGAGAAATATATTTCTAACTTGATGCACAATGTGTGAGAATTAAAATACGTACACATGAAAAACATTATTGTTATCTAAATATTTTCAGTCTTTTAGCAAATCAGATCAAGTGTTGGTATCTGAAGTATGAGCTCCTTTGCTGAACACAAACTCATCCTTACCAGATTTCAGCTTATCTGAGAGCTATACAATACATACACCCACACAGTCAGTGAAATACTTTGATAGTAAAGTATAACCTCTTGAGCCACAGCCATGCTTGTTTCATGTAGATTTGCAGTCAGAGTAGTCGCATGGCAGGCAGACAAACGTCTAACAAAGTTCAGACCTTCAATTTTCTTCTCCCTATGTAAAAAAAAATAAATTCAAATGCAATTATGTAATACAATTTGCGATTTTTTTATAAAAATATTAAAACCTAGAATTCCAAGAAACAAAATGGCAAACAAATTAGATTGTAAAATTAAGCAATGGTATATAATGTACAAAATTCTTTCAACGCGAGTCTTTCTTTTAATGCAGTAGCAGGAGTATTTTAGCATACCAGTCTCTCAATTCTTTCCTATAGTTCTGTTCACAGCTTGCACTAGTGGCAATTAAAGCACTACTTTCCTTTCCTGAGTTGAAAAGGTAGCAGCACTGTAGCCCCATTTCACCAGTCAGAGCCCACTGAAGCCTTATATTCTACAGGAAGTGACAGGAAAATATTGATGGGGCCCCTCTCCGGATCAATGCTTAAACTTACATAGGTCCACAAGCCTCTGAAAGCTTATCTATCAAGCCTCAATTTACAATAGTCACAGTTTAATCTAGGTTTAGATTGAAAAAAAACTTTTTTTTTCTTTTTTTCTAATATATGACTTGCAATCCTCACTACTTTTTATGTTATGTCCTTTTTGCTGTTTTATTTTGGGGTTTTTGTTTGTTTATTTTTCAAGTTATCAAAATAAATGCCTTCTGTATTACATCCAGGTTGCAGACAGATGTTTACACCTACCAGTCATCATTAGCTAGAAGTGTTAAGGCTTCTGTCAGTGCCATTTCCGGCTTTGAAAAGGGACACAGTTGTGATTTGTCTGTTGCTTCTGTGACTGGTGACCTCTTGTCTTTATAGCGTCCTTGTGCCCTAAGAGAAATTCCATCTGCGAAATCATGAAGCATAAGAAATAATTAGCATAATCTGAAAAAACTAATTCATTCCAAGGAAGAAAATATAAGAAGTTTGAGATATAGACTGCTGCTACTAAGGGACCGGGTTTTCAAAAGGACAGCTTTCCCAGTAACAACCTTGATCACTCACTAGTTCATTCATATCAATGATTTTTTTTTCAAATAGTCACCACATTAAAGATCGCAAGCACAAATATAGTGGATTATTTAGTGCAAAACTAAATGCACATGTTGATGAATTCAAATCCTCTTCACCACCACCCCAAAATTACTAACCTTCTAGAGCACCTCAGGACCGTCTGTTGTACAAATAACTCATAATAAACCCAAGAGTATTTTGGAACTGCCCCACTCCACATGTCCAAATATTTTAATAGTATTTCGTTAACTTAAAATGTCCAGCCTTGCTACAATGTGGTAAGCTGTTTGTCTTCTTGAAGCTGGATGTCATTTTTAATGAAGGATTCAAAGCCACATTTTCTAATGACAAGGATGCATTTCTTCATGATGTTAATAAGTCCCCACAGAGATTTAACTCTAGAAAATAGTAGGAAAAGTCTGAACTACAACAACTAACCAGAAGAAACAAAAAACAAAACAAAAAAAACCCAGAAGTATTTCCAGTCCTAATTTGTCTTTTGAAATTTTTCTTAACTAGTCTTTCAAATATTTCCCATAAGCACTTTATTCTCCACCATTTGCTTTATAAGGCTGACAAGAAATTACTAAAGAGTAAACTACAGTGTAAAATTAATTCTAGTAATACCCTATTTACACTAAACAGTCAGGATTTTTTTGTAGTTATCACAGAATTTTCATGTCCATTTCAGCAGCATTGAAAAGTGTATTATTCAAGACAAACACTAATTCTCACTTTCTGCTGTCATTATCTCTGGTTCCTTTGGTTCAAGGTTTTCCCAAGGTTTCTGATCCTTTCCTTCAAGGTCTGTGACATCCTGATATTTTTTATGATTGTATTCTTTTTCTTTTCTTTTATTCCGCTTCGCCTTATCCTGGGCAGATTTTGACAAGGTAACTGTATTCTGCAAAAAATTAATTCACCATTATAATATGCGATATAATGCAAAAATTGCTCAATAACTTACCCAGTTCTTTATATTGTCTAAGGTATGCATGGAAAATTTTTATTGTCACCATTATTCTACAGAGCAAAAGGAAATTATTCACACAAATATTAAATCCAAGCCCCAAAAGTGCTGGATGAGTGCTTTTTGCACAGTAAATGGTCCTACAGGCAAAAAGAAGCAACATTCCAGGGTTAAACATTTAAGGGAAATAATCACTTACTCTAGAATATCTGAATAGTTAGAGAACTAAGGTCTATAAGAAAAGATCTTCTATTCCTTGGCAGCGTTGTGTAGTTTCCTGGAGTTTTAGCTAACAAATACTCAGGCTGGGCTAACTCACATTTAAGCACACATGGTTGTTGTGTTTAACAGTGGTCTTTTAGCAGTGTGATCTGATCCTGCTTTTTAATATGTTTAAGACTTCTGTGGTTCCTCATGAAAACTTAGTAACATTTAACACATTCTTCCATTTACTCGGTGGAATTTGATCCTTCCAAGTATTCATATCTTCAGCAGAAATCAGAAAACTAAGACGCTGTTTACCATTAACTTTTTAGTCATCTTAAAATATTATTTTAAATGCTTTCAGAAAGACTTCCGATTTAAATTTCAAATTTTCTGAAATTTGCATTGCACTTCATTCAGATAAAACCTGTTCCGCTTTATATCAGATGTAAACAGCATTTAATAAGGCAGCACCACTCCTCAGGAAGCCATATTATGGGACAGATATTCAGACACTGTTTAAAAAACTTATGAATGGAGCCAGATTAATGCGTCCATTGAAAAAAGAAAAAGACATGATCAAAACCAGCCAATTCCTCCTTCCACATTTCCATGTGCTGTGGGAGTCAAAGAGGACATTTCCAGCTTCATTATCTCCTGAAGCCCTTCTCCCAGAGGTGTCCAAGTTAGGTGGGAAGCTTCTGACACAACAATTTGCTGTTATATCCAAGTGGAACCAAAAAGAAAAAGCAGGGAGAAGCAGCTTGCTGGCTATAGGCTATTTTAATCAAACTCTTGTTTACCACAACATAGAGACTACATAACTGTATTGAGCTGTATTCACACACATAAAACCAGGAAGCAAGACAATAAAAAAGTTCTGAAATTCTTACTTCTTCATTTTCAATGTAGAAATGAGAAGCTCTGTCCTGCTGGATGCTTCTCCCACAGGTACCTGATGACTGCTCACTCATCTCATTCAAAGCCTGGTCATCTCCATTAGCTATACATGCTAGAGACTGTCTGTGCTCTTGTGCAGAAGGATCTTCAGAAACACCTGAAAGGCATATCATGTTGTGCCCTCACCAAAATAATAATTTTATTCAGCAGAACTTATTAAAGCTAAAGAAAACCAAAAGCAATTCAAGAAGATAAATCACTGCTATTATACTATTAGTGTCAATCTCCACCCGTAACTACTCTTATTTTATTCTACTGAGTAGAGTGAATGTATGTACATGAGGGCACACTGGACTGGAACTAAGACCTAATCATCATAACTTGCTGCTATTCTTTGTTGCTGGACTAGAACAGCATATCCAGTAACTGCAAAACTTTGAAGTGTAATTCTTTATATTTCCATTTAAACTGAAGATTGTTCACAATCTAAAATGTACAGAATCTATTTTTCCTTTTCCCACTCTATAAAGGTACATCTTCCCTCATTTTAACAACATTATGAGTTGTAGGAGATAATTTTGGTTTTGTAATACCTTTACCAGCAATTACAGCTGCATCTTCAGACGGGACACTTTGTGAGATGAAATCTAGATTGTTTGTCTGTGGAAAACTAGATGCTGGCTCCGCAAGACCTTAAAAAAAATAAATCACATAATATAAATAATGTAGTTTATGCTTTGGTACATGTTTTATTCTTCTAAAATGTTATACACTGACATCTGAAGTTATCGCTTTAATGAATCAGTATATTTGCAAGTTACTGAAGAGGAATTATTAAATATTTATATCCCCAAAACCATGGAAAGCATATATCAAACAAAATTGCTGCTAAAAGATCATAAAGAAAACCAATGTTTGCAAGAGGATTTTTAAGCCAACTTATTCCACCGAAAAAAAACAACCAACCAGAAGTTCCTAACTCACTTAGTGGATGGATAGCACTGTTTCTTACATGATTCAGCACAATTGAATCATAACAGAATTTGCAATATATTTTCTCCCAAGCAGCACTTAATGCTGTTTCCCATCTAAATTAGCAGTCCCTCAAATTGTCCACCAAAGTGGATGACATATATTATGTACTTCTATACTGGCTGCACTAGTTGCAAGTAAATATTACAGTTTGTGACAAAAGAAGGGCACAATTTACTTTTGCTATTTAATCTGGTTCATCTGAAATTTCTCAACAGAAAAGATGATTTAGCAGAACCTGATTACTTACTTTCTACCAGAATGTGCAGAAATGAAGTCAGGGGACTACTGAACCATCTCAGCTGAGAAGTATTCTGGTAAACTTAGATCCCACCATCTACATCTACAGCTGCTGCAAAATGCTCTTTACCAGGCAAGCTGCAGCATCTCAACAACTTGGGACTCTTGACAACTCTGTTACGCTTTACGCTCTCATCTCGGGCTTTAGTTTGCCAAAAATAATCCCAGGTAAGAGTCTGGCAGATAGCTCTTTACTTTACAAATTATCTGATTCCATAGTTTTAATTTTGGAGCTCTTTTCTATGCTTTATGAGAAGAAAGATAAGTCAAGAAGGGTTTCTCTTGAACGTGTTACTTTGTCCTCCCACAAACCTGATCAGAGGTGTCTGAATGTTCCAAGATTTAAAATCCAAGAAAGGTCAGAATTAGTCTTTCGGGATTTTCTTGAATATAAACTTGAAGCTTCATGAGCAATTCTGTCTTAGACCGTAACTGACATACAATGCTGGATCCCCTTTGGAACCTACACCCAGATCAGAACCTTCTGTCCTAATCTCAGCTTCAAGCCCAAAAACTTAAAAACTTAAAAACTTCAATTTCACAGCATTTTATGGGCATCACAGGATAAGCAGGTGGTGGTGTTCTGGTTTTGTTTTTTTTTTTTTTGTTTAGGATTTGCAGATCTGATTATAAAGTTTATTTCCATTGCTCAGCTCCACCATTCCTATAAAACAGACAAAACTGCCCATGTTTAATGTTGAAACAAGATATGAGAAAACAAAAAGTCTTACTGGGACAAAGATCTTCCTTATTCAATGTTTATTTAATTTTCTATTTGTCACTAAAACATAATTATTTGATATCTATTTTCACCACTTTTAGGGAGCTGTGAACAACAGACAGTGAAAACTATGCACTCCTTAAACTGACTTAGGTAGGGGACAGTAGCTCCTAGGATGCATTAAAAATGACATAGTTAAAAATGAAATGTTTAGTGTAATTGCTTAAGTTCCTTAATTTTACCAATGAACAGAGTAATTTGAAACCAAACATTTTTAAAGCTGTTCATTTATTCAGACTGAGATATATAACAACTTGGTCCTTTTTTTCATGCTATGTACTATCACTTGACTTATAATTTTAATTGGCAGTCTAATTTCAGTTAATGTCAGGAAAAAACCCAACTTGGCAGCATAAAGACTAGAAATGAGGAAACCACATTTGAAATGCATTTTCTATACAACTTGGTTTACAAAAGACTATATATAACCTCAGTTTTTGACATGAGAGCTTATGTGAACAGTGATATAGCAAACTCACAAACCCTTTGAATGCTTATAATTTCTTTGGTGTTCCATATTTTGACTTTGAAAAGTAGTATGTGACAATTCTTGCTTCTTGTCCTCATAATCTCCACATCTATTGACACAGTTCAAATGCTGGCCAACTGTTCTAACGTTATCACCAAATGCTGGACATGCTAAAGGAAAGAAATCAAATACTAAAAAAATTTAAAAATAAATTTAAATACTTTTTTCTTTGTACTACAGGATTTGCAAATAGTTACATTTTCAAACACCCTCAGACTGGTTTATGCATACAGTGTGAGCAGCTTTGCCTACACAAATCTGAGTATTTCAACAAAGAAGCATAACAGGTTCAAACTTAAACAGGGGAAGTTTAGATTGGATATAAGGAAGAAGTTCTTTACTGTAAGGGTGGTGAGGCACTGGAATGGGTTGCCAAGGGAAGTTGTGAATGCTCCATCCCTGGCGGTGTTCAAGGCCAGGTTGGACAGAGCCTTGGGTAGCATGGTTTAGCGTGAGGCATCCCTGCCCATGGCAGGGGGTTGGAACTTGATGATCTTAAGGTCCTTTCCAACCCCAACTATTCTATGATTCTAAAGGTGCTCAGGCTCTATTAATTTTTCACATGCAAAGCCTTTCATCTACAGAACGACCCAGGTTGAAAGTATAACTCAAACGCTGAAAAATGATTTTTTAGTTCAAAGTCTTTCAAATATGAACTACCAAATACTAAGTAATTCAGCATTAAAAGCCAAATAAAGTCATAAGTCAACTAAGTGAAAATAGTAAAATGCTAATTAGAAGAAATCTTTACATTCACATCCTGTAGAAGTCTTAACATTTTTATGTTACAATTATAAACAACAGAAACATCTTAGTTTTGGTGAAAGAAAAACCACCCACAAGACCAACAAACCAATAAAATAACAAACTCAAACACCACTAATTACTTCAGGAATCCTTTAATGGATCTTTATAATACCTAAAATGACCTAAGTTTTTTCATATATATGTCTTTTACTTCATGTTCCACAAATTCCATGGAACTAACCCTGCATTTAATTGAAGGGATTGATATGCATAACCAAGGTAGCAACCAGAGTGACGCAGGCATCTTCCTCGGGTGCTAGCAGAACACCAGACTGCAGTTTTACTTCCCATGGCTGCAGACGTGATGGTACTGGTATGTTTGCCACCACCTACCCATGCCCATCTGTCTTGAAGTTCTGCACTGGTGGCTGTCACTGTCACCACATCCTCTTGAGATAACGAGCCATACTGAAATCTTTTAAGATTCTTCTTGTGTTTTCTTCTTCAGCTGAGAACTTGGATCAGAGCAGGATTTTTTGTTCTGCTAGGGAATATTTTGCTTTGGGATACCCAAGATGGTGACACTCTTCCAGCAAGGAATGCTATGAATGGTGATGAAGGGACAGGAACTCATTGAACAAGTAAGAACAGACACATCACATGAACATTCTCCTACATAGAATCATAGAATAGTTAAGATTGGAAAGGACCTTGAGATCATCTAGTTCCAAACCCCCTGCCATGGACAGGGACACCTCACATTAAACCATATCACTCAAGGCTGGTGACCCAAGTCCCCCTTCAGATACTGGAAGGCTGCTATGAGGTCTCCATGAAGCCTTCTCTAGGCTGAACAGCCCCAACTTTCTCAGCCTGTCTTCATACAGGAGGTGCTCCAGTCCCCCGATCGTCCTCATGGCCCTTCTCTGGACTTGTTCCAACAGTTCCATGTCCTTTTTATGTTGAGGACACCAGAACTGCACACAATACTCCAAGTGAGGTCTCACGAGAGCAGAGTAGAGGGGCAGGATCACCTCCTTTGACCTGCTGGTCACGCTCCTTTTGATGCAGCCCAGGATACGGTTGGCTTTCTGGGCTGCGAGCGCACACTGAAGCCTGCTCATGTTAAGTTTCTCATTGACCAACACCCCCAAGTCCTTCTCTGCAGAAGGAAGCAAGTTACTTCACATCAGTGAAGCAAGGTATATATTGAAAGGTACAGTGCTATACCTCTGATGGTGTTACGTTCTGCCACATTAGGGTCTCTGTTTCTTGCAGAAAATGTTCTTGCAGTCTGTGGTTTTTTGCCAAGTAGTAGAAAATTGTCTGACCTGTTAAAATATAAAACAAATCTTTATAGGTACAATGCCACACACTCGTCAGAGGCCAGATAAAGAATACTATGTAGCAAAACCAACAGATTTCAGTTTCTCCTCCCCAATGTAGTTTATGGACAAATATTTCCAGTATGATTCCACAAATGTTCACTTGAGTAGAAAAAGAAATTTAACTCAGTAGAGATTATTTGATGAGCAGGTCCATTACAAAGAACACCATAAAGACAATCCTTGAGAGTAAACTTTACACTGGGATTAAATTTAGCACACACTCAAAAAACTAAGACTTGTTTGGCTGTTTCTATCTGGCAAAGAATGGCAAATGAGAGTGACCAAATCCATTAGCCTTTCACTTCTAGAAATGAGCTTGTTTCAGCTCAGTGTCTAGCAGACAGACATTCACCAGAAAAACGCTGTTATTTATCAGACAATCTTGATACTTCTTGTTTAAGATGATGTGATTGAACATTAAAGCTGACTGGAAAAGCCCTGCACTGTTGAATACTGTGCCTAACTACATAATAGTCACATGGAAACAGCAGCTCTTCCACTATCTGCTAGGACTGAAATACACAACTAGAAGACTTGCTTTTAAGATCCTGAGGAAAGCCCACGCTCCAGAAACATCACTAATACTAGTGCCAAGCTCCCATTTCTCATGGCAGTTTACCAGTAGATTAACTGATCCTTCTAACAGTAAATGCACAAAAAAAGCCTACATTATTGTTGCCAGATTTTGTCTTCTGGAATATATTTTGTCACTTTTACAAATTCAGTCTTACTGCCAGATGTCCCCTCTCTTCCTTGTTAGTTCAGAATTCCTCTGTCTGTGAATCCTGTAAAACTTTCAGTTTGTGTTTCACTGAATAATGGAAAAGGCATGTTGGTTAGAGTTATGTCCTTAGCCAAAACCCTGCCTGGAAGAACATTATACACAGAGGCTTATAGTCTTGGCTTTTTAGGTGTTCTAGCATTTTAATGTATTATTTTAAAAATTATTCTTAAAACTGTGATTCAGCAGTAATGCATATTGCTACATATATGTAGTAATACATATAAATTAGTTCTGAGATCAAAGAACTGTGCAAACCTTCTGTTTCTGAATCCTTCCAGTCTCTTCGTCTTAAAACCCTTTTGTTTGCATATTCTCTCTCTTCCTTCCTATTTTGTTAATACAGTTGTATGCCAGCAATAAAAAGATGCACTTAGTACACCAAAAAAAAACCCAGAAAAATATCTTCAGAGCAGAGCTACAAGCAGCTTTATCATGGGCTCCAAGAGCAGAAAAGGAGATTCTGTACTGCAAAATTTGAAAATTCTTCAAAACCTTTCTTATTTCATTAAAAAATAGTTTATACTGCTCATAACCAACTGGGTCATTGTTCTTTAAAGTCAGAGAGGATATGTCATCACACAATTTCTTTTTAGAAGAGTTCTGTGAAGGCATTTTAAATTAACAATAGTCTGTCAGGAATAAAATGGAAACAGTTCATGATTTGCAGTAATAAGAAACACATCTACACTGTCTTCCTCTTATGATAAAAAAACAACCCATTCTCTCTTCAATTTCCAGGCTATAATAAGCAAATTACATCCTTCCTTTTAACTCATTCTCCTTCTTACTCATTTGTTTAGGCTATGGGTCACATACCTTCTAAGGCAGACTAAAGTCTTAATAAAATATTCACTACTGCTGGCAGCACTTCACTGCACTGTGTTATTATGGCTGCACTGGGAAACTCTTGCAAATTAAAAGCAAGCACAAACTAGAATAACATAATTAAGCAGCTGCCATGTACAGCAGCATATCTGCAGATAGGAAAATAATTCACCTATAAAAATCAAGCTATTAAGCAAAGCAATCTTATATACAAACATATTACGGGTTTCACTCCCTTTAATATTTATCTAACACCAGCAGAGACTATGTGTTAGAATTTCAGAGTTAACACACGAGTTCAACTCACATTCTTCTTCTGTGGAGGACTCTGGACATGGGTGAAGTTAGAGACTCCTGGCTGTAAACACCGCTTTCGCTGTAGGCATCCACACTCGGGCAGGACGCATGGGAGGGGGAACCCACATACAGATCAAATTTAGGAGCAGAATTGGGACTTTCAAGATCTGAAATGTTGCTGCTTAGCACTGCCCTTTTCTTAGCTGCACTGTTTCGTAGAGATCTTAATGAATTCTTCATCTAAACAGGATTGAAAACAAAATGACAGGGTTTATTCAGTGCACCAAAAAAAAAAAAAAAAAGCTTCTGTAAACAGAAGAAAGTATGTTTCTGAGTGTTCAGTTCAATTCACAGGAGTGCACATGCCCCTGTTGGGCAATGTGACCGACCATTTACACAGGTCATGCAATATTATAACAATCTCTTTCATTGTTTTACTTCACAAGAGTAATTATCCTGCAAGTAAATGCAAATTCACAGTGACACTGTATCCTAGCTTCATTCTGCAAAACACAGGAAGAGATTCCTGAAGAAAGACAGGACCTGAGATTCAGACAATCTATGAACTGTGACAGAAATTAAGGATGTGTGGCATGGGAGCATGTGGGGAAGACCATAGCAAAATCCAGTCATGGTGATACCTATGCTTCTTATGTAATTGATGCTGTAATAGTTTAGACGTGTACTGATGTGGATGCTGGGGATACAGCTCCACCTCTCCACCATCCCTGAAACTAATCATAGGATCACAGACTGGTTTGGGTTGGAAAGGACCTTAAAACTCATCCAGTTCCATCGCCCCTGCCACAGGCAGGGACACTTCCACTAGACCAGGTTGCTCCAAGCCTTGTCCAACCTGGGCTTGAACACTGCCAGGGATCGGGCACCCACAGCTTCTCTGGGCAACCTGTGCCAGTGCCTCACCACCCTTACAGGAAAGCACTTCTTCCCCATATCTAATCTAAATCTTGTCCTGTCCCTACAGGTCCTTGTCAACTTTCTTGCTGGCCACTTCAGGCACTAGGAGCTGCTCTAAAGTCTCCCCAGATCTTTCTTTTCTCCAGGCTAAAGAAATCCAGCTCTCTCAGCCTGTCTCTATAGCAGAGGTGCTCCAGCTTTGTGGAGAGCATCTTCACGGCCTCATCTGGACTTGTTCCAACAGGTCCATGTCCTTCTTAGACTGGGGTCCCTGAAGTCACAATAGTGAGAACAGAAGCTGTATAAAGACCCACAGTTTTGCACTGGTACTACAGTAACTGAAAACATTATGACTTCAGCTCTGAGAAAAGCAAGGGAAATTGAGGTGTCTGGAACACAGGAAGTGTGCTTCCACATCAGTTTTTATTGCTTTATTTAGCATCTATCAGACACCCAATGGTATCTCATGGAAATCTGCTTACTGATGACAGTGTCACAAAACTTAAGTCAGAAACATTATTTTCTGGCTCTTGATTGGAAAAAAAGCCCTCCACAATTTATATGCTGTATATTTAAACTAACCTCTTCCTGGTCCACTTTCTCATCGTCCACATTTAACTCTGAAAGATCAGCTGCTGCAAGCTTCTCGTCTGCTTTATTCAGCCTCTTGTCCTTGCACTCTTCATTTCTCCACTTTGTCGAATTTAATTTAATCTTATCTGGCAGCAGGCGGGGAATGGGAGGGATGGGTTTTGTCCCATTCAGGCCCCTGCAGGGGGCTGGTTGCCTTACCAGGGGGGGTTTCAGCTGCAGAGGAACATGTTTCTCCTGCAAATTCTCCCCTGGAAGAGACACAAGCAGATGTCAGTCCTTTGTAGGGGTGGGCAGGATTACAGCACACACCAGAATAAACTTGATGTGTCATTTCTGTATTACACCAGAAAACACCCTTTACAATGAGATGAGCATTAAAAAAAATATACACAATTTAATTTACTACTATAAATACATTTCAACAACATCTTGTTTGGTACCTTCATACCTTTAAAAAGTAGTTAGCTTCCTTAATTAAGGAAAAAGAATAGTGCCCTGACAAACTGTCCTATAAGCAGCTGTAATGACAAAGTTACTCCAAAGAAGGAGGAAAAAAACCCAAACAGAATGCATATGGACAACCTATACAAAATCAGCAAGTGATGAGCACACAAGCTATTTTTAATCTAATATTAGATTGCCTTTAGTAAGTATTTGAAAGAAATCAGCTAAATTGGCAAAGCAACTGTAATCAAGTCAACTTAAAACTATTTCAGGTTAACCAAAATCTACACAAGGTCTTCAAAGACAGTAAATCAGACCATAAATATCAATCTCTACCACTAGCTCTCAGTATAAATTGGAATGAAATCAGCACAGATTCTACTTATTCGAGACACAGCTGTTTGTAAGCAGGTTTTAAAGAGCTCGTCTGAGTGTGGAGAATTCCATATTTGCATTTCCAAATACAAATAAAGAGGAAAGAAGGCCAAATGCAATGAGTAATATTCTTCTTGCACAGGTATTAGGATATTAGAAGTAACAGGTATTTCTATATTGGCATTAGGACCTTGGAAGGGCATTGTATTCTCTGCTTGATTGCAAAAACTTCTCTGGGTCTTGCTGGAAAAATTTAGGTTGGTATAACGTGAGCAAAGAAAAAGAAAATAGTATTTGTGGTAATTAGCCTCTTTGACAGGTCTTGTAATAAAAGAACACACCATCTTCACAGTCAAAAACTGAAGGTCAGCATTCTACCCACACAAACAAACAAATCAGGTAACTTTATTTTGCAAATTGCATTGTCCCCTAAAACATCAATTTCCTTTTTTGCACTTGATCAAATGAGTTTATGACTAAGCTGTTTCCCCAGTCACTTTTAAAGAGCTAGATTTTGAAAAACAAATTACGCAAGAGGACTGAACAGTTCTGTTGCTTGCTGCTCCATATCCCAAGGCTGCATCGCATAAAATTTGCAACCATCACTCTCAAAACTCAGTGATACAAGAGTAAAAATAAAGCACAAATGTTATAAATTCTACTTCCTTAAAAAAAAAAAAATCTGTAATTTTCTTTTTTCCAAAAACCAGTAGATCAACAATAGAAAGGTAAGTGTAGATGTGGAACAATACCATTTTAATTGTTTCCCATAAAAAGCAGACACATGTTCCCCCACATGCACTTAAGCTTTTAACCATGCAAGTGAAAATGAGGATAAGTTTTAACAAAGTTCCTGACGGCCTCTGGAAGGATCCTTGTATGCTGGGACACCTCAGCAGTCTTGTTGAGAGAACAGTGCTGCAAACAATTCCACTGGCACAACCAGAATAAGGGAAAAGCACAGCCTGGGAGTGAGAGCAAGTGACAATGTGAGTCGCACTCAGAGAGCCTGGTAGTCATCTGTGTCACTCCAAAGCAAATCATTCAACTGTGCTTTTAGTTACAGCACAAAAAAAAAAAAATAAAAAAAAAATATCTCTTTACGAATCAGATCGCTACAAGGTCTCTGTCTCCTGCTGCTTTCCAAAGCTACAGCATCCCAGTGTTCTCCAGGTATCCTGAGGCAGCAAAACTAAGCTAAGTCAGGTGTGGGTTGTACTACTGAAGAAAGGCTCAGTTAACAGTAATATCTGGCACAAAAAGTGTTTACAGAGAAATAAATCAGCAAATGTGTGCAAAGTACCTGACAGCCTTCTGAAGACCAAGGCTAGGAGAAGAGAACATTAACTACAGTTAGAGAGGCAAAACACATGGAAGAAATTTCTCCTTTCTTCCTGTAGGCAGAGAAAAACACAGCGTCTAGAGCCCATCAGTGGCTAGCAGCAAATGAAGTGCCTACATATCTTCCACCAAGGCTGTCAGCTCTACCCCTTGTACAATATATCTGGACCACTCCAAGCATCTTTGTCCATAGATTTGGTATCATTACCATCTATTCATAGACTCATAGAATCACAGTGTGGTTTGGATTGGAAAGGACCTTAAAGCACACCTAGTTTCAGACCTGTGCCATACGCAGGGATGCCTTCCACTAGAGCAGTCTCAATTCCCTAGTCTCACTTTTGTAGCTAGCAGCAAAACCCACCTAACACAGCAGCACCCTGGTTATGTGTCTAGTGAAAACCATAGAGAGATGACCACAAATTAAAAGAATTAAAAGCTCTGCATGCACCAACACAGTGTTTCTGCAGCACACTGAGCTCATTTTCCCGTACCTGCTGCGCTCAGCAGAAAGGAATACCCTGTGCCTCATCCTGCACAAGTTTCTGCTGAGACACCCTGCCTGCCCCCACACCTCAGACGGCACCAAAGAGGGTACATTAACCAGGGCAAGGCTCAGCCCTGACTCCTGCTGTTAAACAGCTGGGACAATCTGACCTATAACAGTATCAGAACTCTAAAAATCAATTCTTCAAAAAAAGTTCCAATTCTGTTGCAGTGCCACTTTCTGTACAGCACCCTGACATAGGCAGATACCAGAGGGGTGAGCTGCAAATTAAAACCACAAATGAAAAGTACTACACAGGAGGGAGGCACAATTTGTCTGAATAGGGATGGAACAATGTTTTTGCAATAGGTTGGTTTTTTTCCTTAAGGCAGCATAGAAATAGAGACTTTTCCAAAGCAACATGCACTGACTTATGATACGGTTAGAACTCATATACCTTTGTCTTGCTGACAGTTACTTAATCCTAAAAATTGTAGATCGGATTCTACACTACCACTCTTTCCACGTGTCTGTGTGTATCCAAGCGTTCCACATTTCCCTGATATTTGCGGCTGATGAGAGCCCACAGGACCTTTCAAAAGAAAAACACAAGTAACTAGATAAATATTTAATATATGGTACTCAATAAAAAATAGTCAATAATATTTAATAATGCATTAAGACTCTTTGCCTAACTTTCAGTGTAAAATACAACTATTTTAAAAGTACTTAATTCAAGATTTTCTAAGCAACCTCGTAACATTGTTCATAAGCACAAACTGGAAAAATGGCTGGCCATTCTTCCAGGACACTTTTCCAACTGAGAATTGCAGGGTCAAAAGAAAAATCCTGAACAATGCCCCCCCTTAAGACAACACCTTAAAACCCCAAAACACAAAGAGTTTCTTTAGACTTCACTCACAGCGTAACAGTGAACAAACTTGGCATGCCACACATGTCCATGCCCCTCAGAAAAAACTTAGAATACAACCTCCTGCCAAGTGAAGAGAGTAAGTCAGGCCCGGTCTTGCCCAGTCCTTTCACATGTCTTTTGGCCATTAAAATACAAATCACTGAGCCCATGCTTCTAGTGTAAATGAAGTGGAACACTATACTGACAATCTTCTACAGACCTGTTTTTTAAAACCATGATATTTTCCTTTAAAACAATCTTTAGAGCTCACTCTAAAAATTCTGGGTCTCCTTTTAATTTACGTCTTTATCTGCAATTCATATTGTATTTTACAGTGTGAAAGAACGTTGGCTGCACTACTCTGTTGCTGACCTATACGGTACTTCTTTTTCCTAATTTTGCAAATGCTGCAGCAAGTTCAGGCCTTTTGTAGTTAGAGAGGCAAAAAACAAGGAAGGCCTTTTGTTCCCCTAACCACACTATTTCTTTTTGTACTTGACATCTGCAAAAACCCTGATCTATAAACTCTTTTGGATCTATCTAAACTAGTGGAAATCTGTGTGTGTACAGCAGGACTGGAAGAGAACAGTCTAATTTTTGAGATGGCATACACTTCTCCAGGAGCACAGATGAAACCACTGCTGCTTGCTTCATCTGGAGGCATAGCCCTGTGCATGGTACTCAACTCTTCATAGTAAATGAAAATAAATAACAAAACAAATAATAAACAAATGATAAATCATGCTTATGAAGCTACAAAGCTTTAGAAGCTTCTTCTAAATCTGTTTTGCAAATGGCAGATCGAACACATTTCTGTGTTAATACTTACCAGCACAGACAGAAGAATGCTCCGAGTTAAAATCTATCCTATTCTGAATGAAATTCCCTGAAGTTCTCTTTCTACTAAAATGTAACTCAGCACTGACTGGTACTCCTTGAGGGGGCCTTAACTCTGGAAAATGAAGTAAATCACTGGATGTAGGGAACTGTAGGAAAAAGGAAAATAATAATAAAAAAAAAAAGCATTCATGTGTGTGAAATGAATGTAGAAACCTTTTCTGTACGAGCAGCAGATTGACCCACATAACTTTGTCATTGAGACCCCACCACAGCCCAGACCAGTCTCTCTTTATAATAAAGCTACACAAACCACTGTCAATATGTGTAGGGAGACAGAATTAATGGAAAATAAAGGGGTTTCCTCCCTATAATTTAGACAATGAAAAGCAAGAAAGTGTGCACATGAGCCTTATCTGTCACCCACAGAAGCCAGTGGGATGCATGCATATATTAACAGGGAAAGCTCAATGAAAAAAGGAGCAAAAAGCCAAAAAGGCTTCTACAGAAAACCAAAGCATACATCAAGAATGGTGCCACTGGGCCAGAGCAGAAGCTCCCAGCTCCAGTTGTCCCAGGCCTCCTGTGCATTTATTGCCTGTGCACTTCAATGCAGGTGGACAGGAACCGCAAAATGCACTGAAATGACAGCCCACGGACAGAAACCACTTGGGTGCAGGCACATGCTCTAGCAGCCTTATTCCATAGCGCCCTGGAACGCTGGCTGCAAAGATGGCATGAGAACTCGGAGGAGAGGAGAGATGTCCCCACTGCCCTCGGCACTGATCAGGGCTGGGACATGGCTGTGTGACTTCCTCCTCATCCTCTCAGCCACCTTGAGGTGGGCAACTGCCTAAACTCAAAGCAATACTCGAGTTTAAAAAAATAACCTAATTCTATTTTCCAGCGTTAAACAGTCTTGCCCAACCCTTTATTGCAAGATCGGTAACGTAAGATGCGAAGCCTTTCACTGCCGTGAAACTAAGCGTTAGGTTTGCTGCAGTGTGGCCAGGTCAGCAGTTCAAAAATTCAGATCTTTCACACAAAAAAGGCAAGTTGGAATTTTTTAAAACCTTAAAATTTAGCACTGAGCACTATGGTTCTTCAATGCAAACTGCCGAGACTTCTTTTGTTAATAAAAGGCAGTCGATTTTTAAATGCAAAATATTTGGATGAAAGTTTTCCCAGCTATGCAATAGTTTATGTATTTTAAGCATTTTATAGTTGGTTTCTATGTCTTACTGTAATACAGGTTGACACTACTCACGGGGGGGGGGGGGGAATCCAACAACAAAAACTGGTAGAGAATTCCACTAGTTGTCACTTTTAAAAATTAAACATGAACATTCTGAATTATGTACATTAGCTATGTAAGCATTTAAATAGCAGCTGCTTGAGGCATAAAAACAGCATGCTTCAGATTTAGTCTAAAAGCTGTATCTGGTAATATTAGTACCTTATAATGAGAACCTGTTATAGGTGAAGTCTGAATAACATAAAAACTTAGGGAAGAAAAGTTCATGTTTTAAATAAAGGTTTCTTACTTTCTGATTTAATTAGTAAAAATCAGTAATTTAAATCATTTCCAGGCTATGTTAACTCTGGTCTCCTCTTTTACAGACAAGGCTCCACACAGAGGCCAAAACAGAAGACTGAACAGAAATGGAAATATTTATGCAGCACTGGAAAGAACAGCATCACCTGAAGTCTAAAAAACTCCTTTCCTCAATATACTGGTTGTGTGAGTGGAGAATTTGTAGTCTAGCACATACATAGTACATTCATTTATAAAAATATGTATTTTTCTTAATTTCACTGAAGATGTCAGTTCATGGTAAAGATGGATTCTCAATCTGAGAACTTCACAAAAACTCTTGCAATATGAAAGTGCAGTTCTGCATTAGTCTGCAATTATCTCTCAATTCTCAGCCCTGCCCACACAATGCAAGTTGTGTTTGACAACACAAGGAGGAACCACTCAGTGCAAACTCCACACACACAGGCTCTTGAATGAAACAGCTTCCCTGTTCCTGGGAGGGGTTCTGTGGTTAACAAAAATGGCAAAAATGTTGTCTTTGCTTACAAAAATGCATGTCCCAATTTACTGCTACACACTGCATTTCGCAGGCTCCAAGTTCAGCAGATAGGATTAAAGTCATCCCCGTAACAAGTCAGTCTCGAGTCTGAAGCATTTGAAGCAAATCCACCAAAATGCTCAAAAGCTTAAAACTTCACATAAAATCTTCCTCCCTGAAAGCTGGCGCTAATGCAGGACCAGACTTTTTCATCAGGCATCAGGGATTAGACTCTCACTTAAGAGTATTTGCAGACAACTGCTTAAAGTACAAGGCAGCAAAGGAGAATTTCAGGAACCTTGATACAAAATGGATCACTCTGAATCCCATTTTTAGTGGAAGATGGCAGAAGGAGTCCAGCCAGTATGAAATGATTTAGTAAGACCGGAACAGGAAATATGAAGTTTTGAAAAGAGTAAGAAACAAGTTCTGATGGCTATACAGCAAGAAAAATGGCTTCAATCACAGCAGCTGTACCAGTTAACGCTCGGCACTGCCCGCTTTCTATAACCTGAGTGACACCAGTTTTACTTTACAAATGAGAAAAAAAGAACAGCAGGTTCCAGGTTAATACAAGTCAGGATAAAAGAGGAGATGAGAACTCAGCATTCTGCTTCTGCCATCAGCCAGCTAGAAAATGCCATTTTCAATCTACAGATCTTTCACTCCACTAATAAGTGTTACTTGTACGAATTCCTTACACCCCATTTCTCCATACAGACAAAACCAGATCTGCAGAAAAAGCAAATTATACAATGCTGTCATGATTGCACAGCTTTGCTCAGTTGTTCCAATTCTAGCTACAGAAATAAAAACTGTCTGCTTTCTTGTATGCAAATTCAATTTACAGCAGTTATAAATTCACTAAACACAGGGATGCAGGCTGGTGGCATATAAAAGCAAACCCAAACTGCCAGATTTTTCACTGAGGTAGATGACAGAACCTGGCAAAGGGATTTCTTTAAAGGTTTCAGGTTCATTTAAATCCCAATAATACCACCAATGTCAGAAAATATTTGAATCTATCCACTAAAAGAACTATTAACTTGGTTACCAAAGCACAGCCCTTGTAAGGGACCCATCACTGACAAACACTCTGTTCTTACATTCCCTTCACAGCCGAGCAGAGGCACTTGGTGAAACAGAAGGTGCTCCTAATTAAAACACACTACCAAGAAGAGAGCAACAATAGAACCAATACAGAATCATGTACCTCCAAAATATTCTCCTAGCCTTCAGAAAAAAACACAGCTCAAATGCCACTTCAGCTTGCAATGAACGGAAGCTTTACCAGACAAACAGGCCAACCTCCATGCCCCTTTAATTCTTGTTACCATCGCGGAAAAGAGAGAGCATTTGTTTCCTAAAACTAATCTCACAGATCATTTGAACACTCACTAAGGTCTTCATAAAGTCCAGTTCTCTGGTTATCAGATCAGTATGTAAATGGAGAAGAATTCCACACATATTGCCAAGCAGGGCAGTTTTGGGAAATTGCATAAGTGGATACTTCATAACATAGCTTAAAATATCAGTAGAATGTTCAAAAGCTTTTGCTTCCCTCCAAAGTGCTGGGGGAAGATGCGCTATTTTCAACAGTGGGTACAGGGACCCACACTATATATTTCACAGGGAACATGATACTAGTCAGAAATAAGACCCGCAGATCTAATAAAGACTGGTATAAATGCTATATACCCCACAAGTGCCACATTTTGGTAAGTGCACCTCAAGGCAGAGCACCGATGAGCTACGCCACTGGTGCTGGCTCCCTTTCCAGCAAACCTCCACACCTGCATGACTTATTCCAATTTAGCCATAGCAGTGGGGCAAGGAAGCTCCTCAGGTGACCAAACAGCCCTCTCCAGACCTTTGATAGCCCTCTGGCTCTGAAAGAGACATCTGGAGGCACTAGCTTCCTGAGAAAGGCCCTACAGTGTTTACTTGTCAATCATGTTTTCTTCTCCCATTACAAGCAGGGAGAAGACTTCTTTCTGAGCACACAAGGGCAGCCCCTGGAAGTTGAGGCAGTAGCAGAACAAGCAGCTCCTACTCCAGGGTTTCTCATCAGGGTGTTTATAAGGTTGAACACAACTACAGTCTCATGCAACAAAGAGGAACTCCGTGCTGGCACCTCTGGTGTCCAGCTCACCACCAATAGCTGGTGATACCACCACTGCTCGAGGTGGCAGCCACATGTGTCACCACAGTCACAGATGGACTTTGTGCTGTGCAGAAACTTACCATGCAGGATGGACTCACAACTCTTGGTTGTGTTTGTCAGTATCAAATTGCCCTTCTGAATCCTGCATCATAGCTGGGAACTGTCAGTTTGCAGATGGGCACAAAACAAAATCACTTTCAAAGGACTTCGGGGATTATAGAGAAATATTTCATTTAACTTCTCTGACAGAAGCTGCATTTAGACAAACCTTTGAAGGCAATGTGCTTTAACTACAGTATATTTTTAGTACACATTAACTTACACATGTTCTACTTCATACCTTATCTGATCAGGGAATTCTAGACATGGCCTTGGGCAATCACTGTGGATTGTGACCCTAAAAATACTAGTAGAAAAAAAACTTTAAACATTAAGCTAATTTCATGCATCCTTTCAGACACAGAATTTTTATGCAAATTCATTTCAAAGGAATGTCTGAATTAATTATTATTTTTTTTTATTTACATGAACAAGTTGAACACCTGAATTTTATGCATGATACACCTTCCTGAAAATAGTTCTGAAGAGATACAGGGCTAACTTACTTTCTCCCCCTCATTTTAACTGCTAAATGCCCCAAGGAAAAGAGCTTTATTTCTAGAGCTTACCGCAACTTTCAGTTAAGGAGTATCTTCCAAGTACAGGAAACACTGTACAAGTTTGCTTGTCCCAGTGTGCCTTAGGTGAAAACACAGTTCATTTACTGGCATTGCAGATACAGACACACCACACGATAAAAGCAGTTTCATGGCACAGATGTAACAAAACAAGCACCATCAAGAAGCTAGCAAACGCTGTACCAAAAATCACAAAGCCAAATAAAAATATGTCCCCTGCCCTGGAGAGCTTTATAATCTGTTCAGACAGATATAACAGTAAGGTAAGACAAATAATCAGGATGTGAAGACAGGGCAACAAAGCTGTCAACCTGCAGCAATCGGACAAATATTTCAGTATTTAAACCACAACGTTGTTTAAATTTCCTTTACAGTAAATGTGGAACTAGCCCCCAGGACTCAAAGTCTCAAAGCCAGAGAAGCTGTGGCTGCCCATCCCTGGCAGTGTTCAAGGCCAGTTGGACAGGGCTTGGAACAACCTTGTCTCATGGAAGGTGTCCCTGTCCATGGCAAGGGGGGTGGAACTGGATGTGCTTTAAGGTCCTTTCCAACCCAAACCATTCTGTGATTCTATGATATAATCCAAAAATCTTTTCTCATATTAGTACCAAGGATGTTCCCTAGTAAAGGCGGTACCTCATCATCACTGACTTGAAGCCATGAGTATGTAGTTGCATCCCCAGGTCAAATTTAAGTTCATATCATTTCTAAATGCACTTTACATACACAGCAAAACAGAACCCATAAATTAATTGCTTTCTCTCCCTCTTTTCACGGTTGGAAACTTCCAGCACTCCCCACAATTTATAGGGATAAATACATATTAATAACTATTATTTCTACAAGTTGCATTAGTTAATACTGAAAAGCTGTTTCAAAAAGAAAAAACTTCTCACTCTAGAGATGTTTTCTATGTAACTTGTTTTTCAGACCCCATTTGCATTGTAGATGGCCCAAGAGAACTTAATTGCCCAATTCATCAACTGAAGGAGATACAGATGACTTCAGGAGTTTGAATAAAGGCAATATATACACCGAAGGAGGAAAAGAGCATCTGTTCATACATGAATTTCAAGGTTTTTACACTACAATAGTGTTAACTCACATTTCTTTTTATTAAGAAACTTTATTAACAGCTAGCCTTCACAAAGTAGCACTGTTTGAGACCTCAACCAATGCAGAAACAAGTTACTAAGCAACTAAGAATTAAGTTCCAAATATGTAAACGTGGTCGTGAGGAATTCTACTCTACACAGCTTTCCATCTTATAAAAAGATCTGCTCGCTTAAACTCACTCACTGGAGATCAAGTTATGATAAATGAAACCTGTCCAATTAAACAAACAAACAAAAAACCCAAACAAAAAACAACAAACCACACAACAGAAAACCCACTACATGCAGATGCACTCCCAGACCTTATAACGCACGGATGGTATCCAAAACAGATGCCACAGAACAGAAAGCCAGAGTAAAAAAGTTCCTTCCCTTTGCAGCTGCTGATATGATCAGTGATAAAAATCAAAGCTCAGGTCAGTCAGAACTGCTATTTCAGCCTGACCTACATTCTTCCTAGTTAAATCAGACTGAGAAACAACAGATATTTGGCAATTCTCTGGTTTTGTTTCGGGTCTGGATGCTGCCAGGAAGTGCTGGCCCCACCACACTCCAGAGCTCCGCTTTCAAAGCCCAAGTTGAACTGTCAGTTTTCCTCGAAACAGCTTTTGTATTTAGGAAAGGTTTTGCAGTCAGGAACCTTCAAATGCAAATATACAGACAGAAGCTCTAAAATAGCTTCCCCACTTCTATACTCATGCCCTGGGTTTTAGCTAGCCATTGTCAGCAACAAGTCACTATACTTAGATGCAAGGAGTGCCTCATGAAGTTTAGCTAACTTCAGAAAAAGATTTTTTTTTTTCCTAAGTGATAAGTTATCTGATTTGTACTAGTTTTAAATACAACATAAGGAGTTCTCAAACCTTCCCAGATGGATATATGTATAAAGATCTTCGAACATAAAATATTACAGCCATACCTGTCAGTTAATAAACCTTTGACAATTTTCACAACTCCCTTTGAAACACGCCTTAGGACACGAGTCCAGTGAGGTATAGGTACATACCTGCTCCACACCCTTTGTGACAGGCATCTGGACTCCGGAACCAACTTCCTTGTATTCAGCATGCTTGTTTTCCCAAGGCAGTTTGTTTTTTCCTTTATGTGCATTCAAGATTTTTCTTGAACATGCTACTTCACTGACTCCCGCACTGTGAGAACTGGAGTGCTGCAGAGCATTAACCCTCGCCTCATACCCGCAGTAGCTGGGTGCGCTCTGAGTCCTGTCACACATCAAGAGCCAGTCTGTATCTGCTCCTGGGGGTAAACAGGATGCCCTGTTATGACAAGATGATGGCAAGGGCACAGCATACTCTACAAACCCTTGGTCAGCAAGCTTTGGCAAAATCTTCCTGGCCAGCCTAGCTTGCACTGCATGCATCAACCCAGCCCCATTGTCCTTCAGTTCCACAGCATCCACTGCCTTGAAGAGAAGGGTGGTTTTGCCTGGGCCCATGGCAGACGCCAGCACAGCAAAAGCTTCCATGGCAGCATGCCGGACCCTGTGCTTGCTGTCCACCAGTGCTGGAGCGAGCTTAAACGCCAGCTTGTCCAGGTCCAGCTCCTCACTGGGGTAAGTGAGGAGGGCCACAATGCACATACTGACCACCTCCTCGCGGACTCTAGAATTCTTGTTCTGCTGGTACTCTGGCTGCAGCAGCAAGTCCAGCACCTGCTGAGGACCCACTTCCTTCATGAGCAAGCACAGCAGGCGTCTGTAACCCTGCCGGATGGCCAGCTTGCTGTCCCCCAGGACTTGAGTAGCAGCAGAGAACAGAGGTGTCAGGAAGGACTTGACCTGATTGCCCAGGCGCAGAGCCAGCAGACAGATCACCTCCAATGCTCCGAGCACCACCTTGAAGTTGAAGTCACCGAGCAGCGTGCAGAGAAGGCTGATGAACCCCAGGATGCTGGGGGCAGGCACGGAGGTCACCGCGGCCTCGCTGGCATCTTCAACTACCCTCTTCAGCTCCTCCACAGCTTGCACACGGGTCTTGTAGTCCTCCTGGTCCAGCAGGCGAGTGTGCAGCTCCGGCGCCAGCAGCCCGAACTTGAGGCCGGTGCCGCCGGGCTGACCGGAAGGCAGCAGCTCCGTGTCCTTACTAACCGGCTGCTGACTGCCGGTGGGTGGCAAAGGCTCAGCTCCAGGCTCTTCATCCCGCCTCCCGGGGGTCACGGGGCTACCCAGTTGAGGGGCCACGCTGGGGTAGAGCTCACCGACATCGCGGCAGGCGACGGGCGGGCAGGGGAAGCCGGCGCTCCTGCGGCGCCGCTTACGCAGGGCTTTTCCACACGGCACCGGCGGCAGCTCCAACCACAACGGCAGGGGAGCGGCAGCATCATCATCCCCCTCACCCGCCCTCCCAGCGCGCTTGGGGCCGAGTCTTGGCGGGATCCCAGGGTCTGGGGGATCCTCCATAGCACGGGAGGACGGCCACAACTACCACGCGCGGCGTAGAACTAAGCCATCCCAGCAACGCCGCACGCTACAACGCTGCCGTCACTAAGAGCCGGCCCGCACCACGCCCACTCGGTACCGACCACGGCGCGCCCGGCGGGGGAAAGACGGAGGGCTGGCATACCCCTCGCCACAGCCACACGCCCATCCCGCCGCCGGCGCTGGGGAAGATGTGTGCTCCGCTGCTGAAGTCGATAGCTGTAAAGCGTAGCGGCCGGTGACAGGCTGCGCCGCCTGGCGCTAGCGAAGCAGAGCCACCACTCCCCCCCTCCGCGACGTGAGGAGTGACACCTCCCGTGCCTCTGGGGTTGTGGGTGCGCAGAACTTCCCCGCCGCTGACTGGCAGAGGGCGCTGGGCGGTGGAGTCCGGAAGTGACGTTTGCTGCTGCCGGTACTACCGTACGAGCGGAGGCGAGCGAGGAGGCGGCGGTGGCGATTGCGGGTTGGGCCTCGCTGCGGCCTGCGCCCCCTCCCACCCGCAGGTGAGCCGGGCCCCGCTTCGGAGAGGGCCCTGTGGAGAGGCGGCTCCGGCTTGGTTCGGCTTGGCCGGGGCCGCCGTGGCGTTGGTAGCGTTCCCGCAACCTGTTCGCAGTGTGGTGGGGAATGCTGTTTACCGAGTTGATCTGTGGAGCGCAAGCGGGAGGGACTGTCTGCAGGTATAGGGAGGGGAGGGCGGCCGCCGCTTGACCTGGGGCCACACTTGTACAAGCAGAACGGCGACAGGAGGGTGACGGCTCCGTCTCAGAGCTGTCGGCAGGGTGGCTGGTGCACAGACGCCGGGTGGCCACGTCCCGCTGGCTTCTTAGAGGGGCGGGGGAGACGTGCTCCTGGCTGTTGGAAGCCGTGTGCTCGTCAGGCCGCTGCTCTGCATCCCTCTACCGCGTGAAACGGGCTGGGGCAGGAGCTTGGGCACGAAGGTGAAACGCACTGGCGTGGGGAGCACGAAATTTCATAAGCAAAACAGTTTCTCCTTGCACGTTATATATATATTTTTTTGCATGCAGTAAGTGGTCTTGTGTGGTGTTTACAACCCAAATTAGCTCTGTACTTTGGGCGGGTGCTGCTGAGGTTTTAAGCTCTGCTGTAACAAACCCAGGCAAGTCGCTTGCTGGCCCCAGTCATTCTGTAGTCTAAATAAGGAACTGGCGAGCGCTTAAACACTACCTTGGAACAGAAAAGTGCCTGAAGCTCTTCCTGCTGTTTTCACATAAAGAAAATGCTGTGTTCTGTGTCTTACCAGGCATCATCACATACTGTGGTTTTTAGAGGAATAAAAGTGCTTCAGTAAGCAAGCTTGGGTGTTTACATTCCTGGTTAACCTTTTAATGTCCAATAACTCTTTCCCTGCTATTCAGACAAGTTTTACCGGCAGACTGTGAACAAGATCTGATAGCCCAGTGCTAATGGACAACCACTTGATTTGCGTGGTGAGCAGACATTGTTGGACTAGCATATGTTCTCTGGGGCTGGTAATGTTCCAGCTTCTGATTTCTTGTTCAGCAGTAGAATAAATGCATGCAAATATGAGGTGTGGGTGAGCATTGCCATTCAGGAGATGCACATCAGTAGGCATCTCTGTCAGGTTTGTACAAAAAGTTTTATTTCTATGGAATAACTTAACTGTCATTACTTATAACTGTTCTTACAGGCTTTGACATCTGAAATGTAACTATTCCTTTATCCTTCCATGTGGTGTTACCTTGTGTTTTTGTGATTTCTGTGTATATGTGCAATCAAGTTACAAACTGAGCATGAACACAAAAGGAAAACAAAGTGGTTTAGCTCCTGAACAGCTCCTCTTTCCCCCCTCTGGGCCCTCTCATATAATTTATGCTGCATATATATTGTTATATGGAAAATGTTATTGTATGGAATCTTGCCTTAATGCAGATACACTTTAAATACTTTCTTTTAGATACATTTGTTTTTTTTTTTCCAGTATAGAGTTGTAATAGGAGAGGGGGGAGCTTACTTATCTTTAATGGGTAAGAAGTTTTCTGTCTCTAGCTGTAAGCCCTTACTTCTTTGTCAGTGCTATTATGTTCTATATTTAAATGTTGGCAAAAAATTTTATTCTTTCAGATTAAGCACTTTGTAAGTAGGCTCACTGCAAATTAGATGTCAGTTAAGGAGCTATAAAAATGATGAACTCATTAAGATAGAAGTAGTGAGATCTTGAAGTGTAGTCATTTAGCAAATCAAAATTAAATCAGGTTTTCAGTTCAGAAATTGAATTGTTGCAGTGTTCTCTGTAGAACAATAGTTATATTTCCTCGTGGTCCAGGATCCTGACATATCCAATACCCTCCACCCTCTCGCTGCTATAATAATTCAGTCAGAATAAAGACCTGCTGTGCCAGCAGGTAGTGGTGGGCAGCACTGTTTGAATTTTAATGATGCTGAAATTAGAGCAGGTATCCTTAATGCCTGCTCTAAGTGCCTTGAACTGTCATGATGCAAAAACTCTTTGAAAGAAGAGTTTGTGGGTTTTGTGGAGCTGTAGGTGGGAATGAGGATCCTTTTCTCTGCCCTTACTGGTGATGTTGGGAAGCATGGGTAGCTGCTGGTGCTGTGCGGACATGGAAATAGCAATATAATTTCTATCAGCATGTCTAACTAGGACCCACGTGGTTGCTTTCCCTGGGAAGCACCTCCTCACCAGCTCCCACCTCTTGTCTCTTGATGGTGGAGGTAGGCCTGGCTCCTGGTCTTTATCATGATCATTGGGCTACGAGGATGATCAGGGGACTGGAGCACCTCCCATATGAAGATAGGCTGAGAAAGTTGGGGCTGTTCAGCCTGGATAAGAGAAGGCTGTGTGGAGACCTCATGGTTATGCAGTTATGCCACCCCTCATGCCACAGGCAGGGACGCTTTCCACTAAACCAGGTTGCTTCAAGCCCTGTCCAGCCTGGCCCTGAGCACTGCTAGAGATGGGGCAGCCACAGCTTCTCTGGACAGTCTGTGCCAGTGCCTCACCACCCTCACAGTCTTCCCCAGGTCTGACTTCTCCAGAGGGTGAGGGCATGTCCACTAGGGATTTCTTGTCACAGTGGAAGCCCCTCATTGAGGTGAGGCAATGATCTCCTTCTCCTGGCTTCGTCTTACTGTTCAGAGTGCAGTAACCTCTGTTCCAGCACCTCTTTCCCTGCAGCACAGGGCTCCAGTGGCTCTGTGAGTCTTTTTTGCCTCTTTGTGCAGAGTGAGGGATTCTCCTCACTTGGATAGGGAATGTGGCCCTGCTGACTGGTACGGTCTGGCCAGAGCACGAGTCGGGGGGGAGGCACAGCAGGGCTTAGCTGCACCACAGAAGGACTGACTAGGCTGCAAGGCAAGTAGCACAAAGTGGTTAAAGAACTTCGAAAACTTTGTCTTAAGTAAGCCAGTTCTATTCTTTATGCATCTCTATTTTTGTTTCAGTCACTGTTCAGTTCTCTCAAATATCTGATACACAATCCTGTTATGTATTCAAAGCTTCATATGATATACATTTTATTCCAGGACAGAAAAATGTGGTGCTTCTTTTGTTGGGTTTTAAGTCACAGATGAATATAACATGCACTATTAATAAACATTTGATTGTCCTGGATTTAACTTGCATGAAAAAGCATAGCACATAAGGATTGGATAAGTAAATTGGGAAGTAATAAAAGCAATTAAGATAAAAGCAAAACTGGAAAATATTTTGTGAATGTTATGTGTGGCATGTCTAAGTAACATGACTAATGAAACTGTTGAAATGAAGCCCTGAGTAATGCCTTAAAAATTCTGTTTGTCACAGATGGACCAGTCGTCTCCAACCTACATGCTTGCCAACTTAACCCACTTGCATTCAGAGCAGCTTCTACAAGGCCTGAACCTCCTTCGCCAGCATCATGAGCTCTGTGACATTATCCTTAGAGTTGGCGATGTCAAGATCCATGCCCATAAAGTGGTGCTTGCCAGCATCAGTCCGTACTTCAAAGCCATGTTTACTGGGAACCTTTCTGAAAAGGAGAACTCTGAGGTGGAGTTCCAGTGCATTGATGAGGCAGCGCTGCAGGCCATCGTGGAGTATGCCTACACAGGAACCGTGTTTATCTCGCAAGACACTGTAGAGTCACTTCTCCCAGCTGCAAATCTTCTCCAGATCAAACTGGTAGTGAAGGAGTGCTGTGCGTTTCTCGAAAGCCAGCTTGACCCTGGTAATTGCATTGGGATTTCTCGTTTTGCAGAGACCTATGGATGCCATGACCTCTACTTGGCTGCTAACAAGTACATTTGTCAAAATTTCGAAGATGTTTGTCAGACAGAAGAATTTTTTGAGCTTACGCATTCTGAATTGGATGAAATAGTTTCCAATGACTGCTTGAATGTTGTGACAGAAGAAACTGTTTTTTATGCACTAGAGTCCTGGATCAAATATGACGTGCAGGAGCGGCAGAAATACTTGGCACAGCTGCTACATTGCGTTCGGTTGCCGCTGCTGAGTGTGAAGTTTCTTACGAGGTTATACGAAGCAAACCATCTCATTCGCGATGACCATACTTGTAAACACCTGCTGAATGAAGCCCTAAAATATCACTTTATGCCTGAACACAGACTTTCCCACCAGACCATGCTGATGACACGACCTCGCTGTGCTCCTAAAGTTCTTTGTGCTGTAGGAGGAAAAGCTGGACTGTTTGCCTGTTTGGAAAGGTAAGTAATAGTAAAGTCATCGCATTGAATTCAAAATAGATTTTGATTTAATGAGTAATCTTCAAAATTGCAGGGTTTTGTTTGTGCCAACAGAAATAGCTGTAAAATCTTATAATTTTAGTTCTGTTGATTCGAGAATTTGGTTAATAAAAGTGGTTAATAAAAAGTTTGTATGTTACTACTTTGTTGTTTCAGGTCTTTTCATTTTACGTCTTTTTTGCCTGATCTATTATTTTTAAAGACAATAAAATCATAAAATTTAATATATGACAAATATGCTTCCTTGAAAGCTTGAAAGTCCTTGGGATTAAGATAGACTTAATCAGAGAAGAGTGAAGAGGTAATTCTTAGAAATAACATGTTCTTGATCATAAAGTAATCATGACTTCAGGCTCTGCTGCTGAGTAGGTATCCATGTCTAACAGGCTGGGAGAGCTGGGTTTGTCTCCAGCCTGGAGAGGAGAAGGTTTGAGGGAGATCTTAGAGCAGCTCCAACTGCCTAAATGGGCCAACAAAAAAGCTGGAGAGGAGCTTTTTTAAGGGCGTGTTGGGATAGGACAAGAGGAAATGGCTTTGGACTGGCAGAGGGGAGATTTAAATTAGATACTGAAAGAAGTGGGGGTGTGAGGCTGGTGAGACACTGGCGCAGGTTGCCTAAAGAAGGCCAGGTTGAATGGGGCATGGAGCAACCTGGTCTAGTGGAAGGTGTCCCTGCTTGTCGCATCGGGCAGTTGGAACTGGATTGTCTTAAAGGTCCCTTCCAACACAAACTATTCTACAAAATACATTCTGTGGAGTAATCTTAAGACTGTGTGCTCTTTGATGCTTGTTTGCACTTCACAGAGCTTCCTGAGGTTAGGTATACTCATGTAATCTTTGTTTTTCTATTTCAGTGTTGAAATGTATTTTCCCCAGAATGACTCATGGATAGGCCTGGCACCTCTTAGCATTCCCCGCTATGAATTTGGAATATGTGTCCTAGACCAGAAAATATACGTTGTAGGAGGGATTGCAACCCATGTGTGTCAAGGCATCAGTTATCGAAAGCATGAGAATTCAGTGGAGTGCTGGGACTCTGATACGAACACTTGGACGTCTCTTGAAAGGATGTTTGAGAGCCGAAGTACTCTGGGAGTGGTGGTTCTGGCAGGAGAGCTCTATGCCTTAGGAGGCTATGATGGGCAGTCTTATTTACGAACTGTAGAGAAATACATCCCTAAAGTGAAGGAATGGCAGTTAGTGGCCCCGATGAACAAAACAAGAAGTTGTTTTGCTGCAGCCGTCTTGGACGGAATGATATATGCTATTGGTGGTTATGGTCCTGCCCATATGAACAGGTATGTATTTTTGCTGTGTGTGGCTCAATGTTATAAACTGGAAATCAGCAAAACTCCCTGTTAAGCTTGTGTTTGGCAGCCAGTTAAAGATTATTCTAAAATAGA